CTGCTGATAGTTGTAATGAAAGGTGTTACTCTGTACCCCTCAGAAAGTTTACTACTGCAAGATTCATTGCAGTTAAATTCACTTCTTGGATCTTCTCAAAAACTTAGATTAAGAGAAGGACCTGGAAAGTAAATGTTTTGTCTTTATCCAACCTAACAGAGACACCTGATCAAATCACTCTTCCTGTTAAAACAGAGGCTTGTCAATAGGGAAAAAGTATTTAACATGTCTGCTGTAGAAGTGGACTGTGTTGATGTCCCACACTTTATACGCTATTTAAAATTTAATTTTGAAATACTATCTGGTTACCAAAGTAATAATGCTTTTGGGGAATTGTAAAAGATAAAATGGCATGTAATACCACTACCCAGATATAAACAGTATTAACATCTTAGAGTATTTCTTCCTAGTGTTTGTAAAGTATCATAGAAAAGGGCGTATGAAATGTCATTTTTGGTACTATATAAAGACACTTAAGACTTCCTGCTTAAAATAAAATGGAAATGTTTACTAAAGTGGAAGGATGTATCTCAGCATCAGACTAATTCTATTTTGACAGTTCTTACCTTTACAAATGCAGTTGCAGAATTAAAGAAACACACATTTAAATATTAGAGAAGGTCCATTTTTAAAAAAAGAGTCATTACTTTAGAACAACTTTGAACATGTGCCATTCAAGGTTTTTTCAAAAATGAAATCTATATAAAGATGATGGTAAGTAGATGTGTGTTTTTCCACATGGAAAGGAAGCAAGATTTTCAATACATGTATAAACTAGAAAAGTATTCAAATTATAAAATGGCCACCTAATTGAGAACAGAAGTTTAGATTTGAAGTAAAACTAGCAAAATTAAAGTTGGAAAACATTATTTCACCTTAAATCAGAGATTTCATCATGTATACTGTTTTGTGCAGAAGCTATTAACCTATTTTTATTCAGATATAAAATGGCTGGCTTGTTTATGTAAAGTATCTTCAAGGTCCTTAACAGATTAAAAACAAACAAACAAACCCCAAAGTCTCACAGTTTAAAAACACATACTTTTAATGCTTTTATTTTTTATTTTATTATTTATAAAGGAAAATCATATCACTTAGCCACAAGAATCGAGACTGGAACATTGGAGAGATAGATCATTTTCCTGTTCGCTTTATTTTACAGATGAGAGAACTGAGGATCCAGATTCAGAAGTGACAAATTATGTACAAATGATTCCAACATTTCCATAATCTCTGAACCTCAGAACTCTCCGACATATTTGAAATGTTGGGTTGTCAAATTTCCTAGGAAATACTTTGAAATAATTCTGATTAGGGATATGTTGGAATTGCTAATTTGGAGAAGGTGAAGATTTTTTTTTCCCAAAATATTTTCTCAAATACCCACTCGGTTTATTTTGGGAATTGTTAATATTCTTTAAAAGCTCTGTCATGCTTGTCAAATAGTGCTAAAATTCTTAAATGAAGTTACCTGAAATATATATTCACCAATTTCACAGTTGGGACTAATGTAAGAAGAAAATAACACTGCATATAATAACAGCTTCATAAGTCTCTAGCGTGTTTTTTTCTGTTAGTATTTTAGAAATATACAGTATGAAACTGCTAAACAGACTGAGGTTCGCCGAAGAAAAAAAGGGTGCTTACCTTCTCAATACTGTTTATGTATACACTGGCTGAAATTTTACTTTTAAAAATATAGTGAATGTTTTTCTCACTATTTTGCTTCTCTCAGAGTTTTTAGAATAAGAACAGCAGATATATTTATCATTCTTCATTTTGGTAAACACAGAGTTTAGGATTAGCTTGAGATAAGCAGTTACTTAGTTAAGTAAAGGATCAAGGTTTAAATGGACAAAATATGGTTATAATTAGCAACTTAAAAGTTTTTCAGTGTTTGGGATAGAATTTTGCCATTAGGCTTCAAAATAGGAAATATGTACTTAGATATTTCTCTGCTAGATATAAACATGTAACATTTTGAAAGAAAAATAATTCAAAATGGTAAAAATCCCCTTGGATGAGAAAGACGTCTGTTGTGGACTATAAATACTTTTAAAAAAAAATTTAATTTATTTATTTTTGGCTGCGTTGGGTCTTTGTTGCTGTGCCTGGGCTTTCTCTAGTTGCTGTGAGCGGGGGGGTGTGTTGGGTCTTCGTTGCTGTGCACGGGCTTTCTCTAGTTGCGGCAAGGGGGGGCTACTCTTCATTGTGATGCGCGGGCTTCTCATGCGGTGGCTTCTCTTGTTGTAGAGCACGGGCTCTAGGCGCACGGGCTCTAGGCGCGCAGGCTTCAGTAGTTGTGGCCCGCGGGCTCTAGAGCGCAGGCTCAGTAATTGTGGCACACGGCCTTCGTTGCTCTATGGCATATGGGATCTTCCCAGACCAGGGCTCGAACCTGTGTCCCCTGCATTGACAGGCAGATTCTTAACCACTGCGACACCAGGGAGCCCCCCTAAATACTTTTTTTAAAGGACCATTTAAACAATTTTGTTTCAACTAATTAAACCTTAAGAATCAATAATAAATTCATGCAATACTTTAGAACTGTATCACTGAATTAGTCTATTACTTGTCAATAAAATATTCCAATGATTTGGAACCTTTAGCTGTTAGTATAAAAATTATCTCCTTTACTCCTTTAAACTAAAATGCCCCCCAAGAGATTAAAATAAATACTTTCTAATGACATAATATTAGGATTTCTGAGGTTAATGAATCTCTTTGAAAAGGTGGAGGTGAGATATTTTATAGCTTTGAAATAATTTGCAAATAAAATTTACAGCGGATCTTGTAGCAGATATGAATAACCTTGGATAGGCTACATGAGTCAATACTGTATTCTGTTTCTCTATATTTTACTGGGGATAAATCTATTTGTTTTAACCCAGAAGAAACAAATACTCTGAAGTCTTTATTAGAGCTATATGTCATTACGTTTTTAGAGCAGTTTTTTCCTCAGTTATTCATTTAGTCTGGTTTGGACTTCTCAAGGGGGGAGACAGATGTCCCAGCAGCCTGACAAAGTTAAGTACTTACAGAAGGTTTACAGTAGTAATGAGGGTGGGCACTTTAAAAATGGCTTGGAAAAGAAAATCATTGTTTATGGATGCTAATAATTCAGTTATATTGAGTTATGTGACTAATTAATGACTTTGAGATAGGTTAGAAAACCATTAAACTTTATTTATATATATGGAAAAATACATGGATGCAAGTTATACTACTCATTTAGAGTACCTTTTTTTCTTGTTAAAAAGTAGTAAGAAGTAGCAAAAAGAAGAAAATAAGTACCAATCATTCAGTGTAAGCCATACTTTTCAGGTTTTTCTTCTACCTCTCAGGCTGCCACTTCTCTGTGAGCTTTTAATACTCTGCCTAACCCTTTTATATTGGTATTTGGTCCTTGGTCTTTTCTTTCTTTTTTTTTAAAAAAATATTTATTTATGTATTTGGTTGCACTGGCTCTTAGTTGCAGCAGGTGGGCTCCTTAGTTGTGGCACTTGGGCTCCTTAGTTGCAGCTTGCCAGCTCCTTACTTGTGGCCAGTGGGCTCCTTAGTTGCGGCATGCAGGCACCTTAGTTGTGGCATGTGAACTCTTGGTTGCGGCATGCATGTGGGGTCTAGTTCCCTGACTAAGGATGGAACCCGGGCCCGCTGCATTGGGAGCGCGGAGTCTTATCTACCGCGCCACCAGGGAAGTCCTGGTCCTTGGCCTTTTCAGGTGTGGTTGACTTATTTGTCTATAGTCAACATCAATCTCTCCCATGATTTTGGTTATTGTAGTTATGCTAATGGCTGCCGACTCTGTCTCCGTCCCTGCTTTGACTGCTAATTGAACGGCTCTATCTAGATGTCTAAATATCTTCTCAAACTGTCCAAAACTGAATTTAATCCTCCAACGCCTTCTCTCTCCCCTGCAGAAGACAAAACTAAAACGTAATTCTCTTTT